TTTTCTAATATTATATTAAAATGTTCTATTGTCGTCTAATATCGGTACATCAATATTCGGAAATGTGATTATGATAAATATCAATGGGATTGCTCCGTACAATTGCCCCCTTGAATCAGGGCGAATATAGAGCTGGACCAGTCGCTGCCTAAGCAAGACCATCACCGGTCGCAGTAATATTAGTAATAATAATAATAACAACAACACAAACACAGGTACCAACAAGAGCAGCCGCGGCCGGAGCGAAACGGCAGCAGCAACCGCAAAGGTAGTGGTTGCGCTATTGATAATACTGATAGTTATTACTACTATTCTTCTAAAAGTATGTTCTACACTTTGCTGTTCGTTTTCAATTCAGTCGACGGTTCACTTGATCGTAGCATTTGGTAGATGGTACTAAGTGTTCGATTCGCTTTGCCTCCAGAGTACTACATCACAACACTCCGAATCAGTGTAAATCGAAGCGCGCAACTAAATTCGCAGCTGTAACGGTCAAATCATCAGTAATAGCTGATTGTAGACTGAAAGATGAAGCAGTAGATGTGTTAGAATATTGTTGGCCGATTCCGATGGTGAAATGGCCACGGTTGAAGCGGTGGCCGTTGCGATAGCAAAAGTTAGCGTTATAGATTATAATCGAACCGCATCGCTTCTAGGTCGACATTAGCAGCAACAGGCAGAGCTATAACCGCAGGCGGTTTAACTACCTGTCTGTCTTAGTTCGTGCTTATTTCTTTACATTTCCCATGTCCGTCTCTTTAACCTTTATGAAACAATAATAGTGACAAATCGCCTGCCTCGCCGCTTGCAGCCACGACCGCCATTAATGCAGTGACTACCCGTGAGGTTAACAGCATCGACTTAGCCTGCCGATCGCTTAGCGCACGACAGACGGCGGCCACCTGACAGCCGAATGAGCAACAAGGCGACGACGGCACTAGCAGAAAAAATCAGCGGCGGCCGCGATCGTAGCAGAGACTCAAATAATAAATTAATTTATAGTCGAACGCTCAATTGAGAACTTTAGCTGTGCTCTCGTTTAAGTTAGTAAGACAGAACAATCTATCTACTATTATCATTTTTATTGCTTTATCGATACTTGTCGCCTTTTGGTGGCTCAGTGGCGTAAGGGTGCGCGAGAGTAGAGTCAATATGCGCGCTATCCAACTTCGCTGAAACACGCGCAGATTTGTTCCACTCTCCTGCACTCGTTTACCGCCGTTTTTGTTTTCGTCAACGACGCAGCCTGTGGTTGTTGTTGTTGTTACAGCAGCAGCAGCAGCATTATCCTGCTTGTTGCTCACAGTCGTTGCTTACCGGCATTGCGCTACCGGCACGACCGTCCTCGTCGCTGTCTCTCTCGCTTGCTGACGCCGCTACTATTACGCTTCAGCCACAGCAGCGTACGGACCGCCGAAGCAGAGGCTAGTGCAGCTCCACTTCCTGAAAGGAGAGACGTCGCACTATGGCTGAATTGAAGCTTCTGATGATTGCTGTGATCGCTGCTGTTACGAACGTAGCCGCTGGTGCCGCCCGTGTCGCCGGTAACGGCGGCGGCCCCAACCACTAACGCTGCGTTTGTCGTCCTCGCTACTGCAGTCGACATTTTAATCAAATCAGATGTCAAACTATTGGATTTCTACATTTACTAGAAGTGACATGCGAGCGACGCTGCTGTTCTATCAGTCACTTTTGCTATCAGCATGGAAAAAAGATGTCGCTCAAGCAACTGGTCGATTGGCCTTCGAAACGCGTATTGTCATTGCGGCCGCATAAAATATACTTGGCCGACACTACCGTCGAAATTGCTATGAAGAATAGATGAGTACTTTCGCCTAAGCACTATTTAATAAAAAGAGTGCAGGCCTTTTTTTATTCAGCGATTTGTAGCTATGCCTGCTGTCGCTTACCATCGGCTACATTACCTTCTGCACCAGACATTAATCGCCAAACCTTCAACAAAAAAAAGGCAGCGGCCTCAAGCAAAAACCTGTACGGCCGACTCGACGACGAAGACAAAAAAGAAGAAAAACGCAACCGTCAACCCACCACTAACTCCCTCCCTCCCTCGCTATCCACTCAATTCCGTTCCTTCTATGGCGCCGCCGCCGCCATCGCAGCTGTTTCTCCCGCGTTCGCCGTTGCTGTCACTCCGGTTGTGCATGATGTTGAAGAACTAACTGATCCCGTCAACGAAGTCGGACTCGCATTGAGACACTCCATCCAATTCTGGCAATGCTATTATCTCCCGTTTACTCACTCGACCCTACTCGTGCTCTCTTTCTCTCTCTCCCCGTTTGTCTGTGTCTCACTGTCACTACTCCAAGAAAGCCACGATCGCTGCTGATTTCCCTGCCACTCATTTCTATTAGCTGTTGATCAGTACTGGTAGTTGCGGAGTGCCTGTGACAGTGGTGCTGTTGAACGACGATAGATGGATCAATACTACAAAGATGGCGCTAATCGTGCGCGCGCAACTCAGTTGAGAATAAACGCATTTAAGATCCGGTGAGGGAAGGGCAAACCGGACCGGCGATCGGTCGCCTCTTCTCGAAGCTTCCCATGACGGACTCCGAGGAGGGCGCGCTATTTTTCAAAAAATAGCGCCAAAAAATTGCTTCTTGTTAAATTTGTAACTGAATCGCAATGAACCATAATCAATAATCTGAGAGCAGAGAAATTGTTCAAATCCTAGAGCAAAAGATCAGATAAACGAATCAGCCGGGCCGGTTGTTAATCTCAGTCATTACAGCAATTTCTTTTATTCTTTTTTTAACGCTCTTCTTATTATTCTTTTTTAAGGGTAGCTTTTAGTGTTTCTGCATTTTATATACGTCGTCCAAATTGCCAGACAAAGAGATAATTTTGCGGTAATGTTTCTCATAAGCTGTTTGTACACCGTAACCGACAACCTTATTACAATACAATACGATAGAGTTCAAACTATAAGAGTCAGAAGAATTCCACCTACGGACTCCGAAACTTTTTTTGGGATCTATGGTTAGTTTGTGTAAGGATAACAGGTTAAAACGACAAAATCAAACTCATCGTTTACTCATCTGGTTTTTGCAATCACTTTTTGTAACACAGTCACGCTTTTACATTTTTGTTATACAATAATTTAAATAGGTTTTTGGCGCCGCAACACAAGACCTTATCAGGTATTGGTGGGCATAGCTTTCTACGCCGCAACATTTGCCAGCTGAGGCACGTAAACAAGAATAGACCAGATGGCACTAATAATCATAAGGAATCTAAGACATGCCAACCCATTGGATCGGGCTAGCCTGTATTCAACTGTAAAATAATTAGCCATGGCTTCGGTCGTAGGCTTTTTTCGGAACACATTTCCATGTTCTCCTATTAGGTTGAGAACTAGCTCATTGATTATGGATAGTTAATTGTTACATAGTTATAGGTCAAATCCTTTTTTTGATACAAATTCTTAAAAAAAAAAAGAAAATTTATCGACTGCTGTCTTGTAATACTATGCTGTTGAATACCGTCATTCATTTGTTGACGAACTATAATGTAAATATATATTATGCTAATGCAGGTTAACAGGAGGCAAAAAAATTCAGATATTCTATTGAAATAGTTCCTGGAATACAAGCCTCATGATGTAACCTACAGATAGTTATATACTTTATTCAAGCAGTATGTTCCGGAAATAATTAGTTCCGGAATAATGTATTGTGTTAATAATAAAAGTTTCTCGCAAGGGCATAATGTACACTAAATGAGAAATTCAATGAGAACTTTGAGAACTTGAGCAGGTACTTCAGCGACCTGTGGCTTGATTAAAACTCGATGTCGCAACAACAATTCAATCTGTATCTTAATCCTGTGATGGGTCTTGTAAGCAGGTATTGCACAACCGTACAGCGTATATGTTAATTATTATCGACTTCTTGAAGTAATGGCCAATAATGACCCGTTAAAGGTTCAAAATGAACATATACCTCAAGCATCAAAGTTATTGAGATTGTTGCCATTCACAGATTGAAATTATCATAGCATTTGATATACTGCAGTATAATGAGTGATTACGCGGTGTAAGCATGCCCAGTAATAGCACAAATTCGTAGGCTCTCTTGCTGCTGCTTTTGTCAGTAATGTGTGGGCTACAAAGCGTTTTAAACTTAGATGTCTCCGTTCAATCCATCGCGATGGGCACGAATGTCATGGAGAATAAGGGAAATTTTGCGGTGACTACATTTTCTACGTAGGAATAGCATATCGGGGTAATTCAGCTATTAATTAAACTTCGGATAATGACTAGCAAGACAAATAAGCAACATATGAGATACAAACTTCGGTGTATACTTAGATTGCTTGCACTTCCGTCATTTTAGATACTTCGCACTAGGTGAAAATCTATGTTGTTAAAATGGATTTCCTTGTTAGATTCCTATGCGTTGAATATAAATCTGAAAACCAGTTTCAGACTATGTGCGTGATATCGTAAGTGCACAAGATTGGGTGCGATTTCTTGTAAAGCGGGTTAACGTGATTAACTGTTGATTAGTTTACCGAAAATTTCGAAAAAATATTGAATAGGTACATTAAGCGTAATTAAATATATAATATAATAATAATATAGAACTATAAGTTTGTATTCGCTAGATTTAGCCATCAATATTTTACATAAAATGTCATAAACTGTATCAGGCTGTTAAATGCATCACGCCAAAATAAAAATTGCTAACAGTCGTACACATGCCTGGCCTTTTTTTGGCTCCTCAACTTACACTTCTAATTATGAGTACATGATTAACAGATCATTACTTTAAATTATAGATGAAAATACGCAGTAAAAATTTGTTACCGTAAATGAAACTAATGGTTCGTCTATATATATATTTCTTATTGAGGCAGAGTTATTACGAAGCCTTAGAGAGGAGAGGTTGAGGTATTCGAAAGTGCCCGCCGCCAAGAGGGCGGTGTCGCTCGCGTTTGGCCGTGGTCGTCATGCGTTTATCCGCTCCTCGCCACCCTATAGCTGGTACCGCTGCTGCCATTTTGTATAGCGAGGTAATTTTTTGGCGATTTCTGGTGTTTTTGAGTCGTGCTCGCGGGTGCTGAGTGTGCCGATATGGACAAGGAGCAGCTTGTGCAGCAGGCGAAGATCGCCGAGCAGGCCGAGAGGTAAGTGATACCCCCGTCTGGACAAATTCTCAAAGCTGACCGGTCGAGGCGTGCGTCTTCTGTCACTGCGCCGGCCACCACATAGGTTCTTCTCCTGCCCTCACCGTTGCTTGCTGCGGCTGTTGCTGCCGCTGGTGCCGATCAGGCGTGCGGACGATACTGCCCAAAGTAATCGTTATTGTTCCGTGAGAAGACGGTAGACGGTCTAGCATCATTGAAGACTAGGTTGGCCATCGGCCGCCCCGCATCTACAGGGCCCCGGGGGCGTCAGTCCATCCAGCCAACAAGCATGCTATTTATGGCCTCTCGATTGGTGTGCGTGCCGCCGGGCTAGCTGCCTGCTCCCCAAAGGGCCGCGGGGACTGACTGCCAAGAAGCCGCCTGAATTTGTCAAGCTATACGAACCTTTCTAATTGCTAGTTTATGGGCTTCTGAGGAGACGAGCTCGGAGGTGGATGAGTCCTTCCGTCCGTCCGTCCGTCCGGCCGGCCGGCCGTCGCCAGGATGTGCGTAATTCGTAACTTATAGGTCTAGTGAAAACTGGCTACTAGAGCTAGACCACCAGAGACCGCTTTGCACGCTTGTACGTTACTGCCGTTGGTCTATTATAATGTACGCTCGTTGAGTGTCATGACCCTTATATTAGTCACAGTGATGACGGTAGTCTAAATGTTTTACAAAGCCAAAATTCAATGTCTGAACAGATGATTATAGGGGTCAGAATGACTTTTATTAAGGGGATAAAGTTAGAGAGTGAGGGATCGCTCAGTTTCAACGTCTGCATATTCTTTCAGACTGTGGTTACGTTAAGTATAAATGTACAGTATCTAAGTTGTAATTGTTGTTCTTATAATCGGTGTTGCTGGGCCGCCGAATTGCGCGCATTATTGATACAGGTACGATGATATGGCGGCGGCGATGAAGCAGATCACAGAGAGCTCTCCAGAGCTGTCGAACGAAGAACGTAACCTTCTGTCGGTTGCGTATAAGAACGTGGTTGGTGCACGCAGGAGTTCGTGGCGGGTTATTTCTTCCATCGAGCAAAAGACCGAAGGGTCGGAGAAGAAGCAGGCCATGGCCAAAGAATATCGTGAGAAGGTTGAAAAAGAGCTCACCGATATATGCCAGAGTGTGCTTGTGAGTAGAGTGATATCCATTATGTGTTTCAGTTGTAAAATTTAAAATAAAAAGGCTTTTCTTATTCAAATAAAAAATATAGAATTTCGAGTAGAACATTTAAGTATACATTATCACTTACGCAAGCCCGGTTGCTTTACATTGATGTCGTGTTTGCCATCTGTAATTTACAATTCGTTTGGTAGCAGTGTACAAACATTGATCGACGTACCTATTATATATGTACCTTTCTTTGTGGTAGTTTGCATACTATAATCTCCATCGATTGATGCTTGTGCGTAGTATGTTGTTCTTATTGTAATTAATTTGCACTGTTTTAAAGCACTTAGTCTCATTTCATCTGTACAAGGCAACCCATTTTATCTTCTTTAGGGTATCATAAATCATTGAGGCTTGTAGTTTATTCCTGAAATTGTAAGAGGCTTTATATTCTCAGCGTAATTTCACATGGCGAATAAATATTACTTGTTTCGTACCTGATTAGTGGTGCGGCGATCTTATTTTCATTTCTATTTTGTATCGTTTATCTGCTGTTCGTTATTTTGACGATGTTTTTCCTTTAATCAAGGGTCTACTGGACCAGTTTCTGATCCCAAAGTCGACGAACACAGAATCTAAGGTATTCTACCTGAAGATGAAAGGCGACTATTATCGTTATCTAGCTGAGGTTGCCACAGGTGATCAGCGCACGTCTGTGGTCGAGGAGTCGCAGAAGGCATACCAAGAAGCATTTGATATCAGCAAGGGCCAGATGCAGCCCACGCACCCGATCAGACTTGGTTTGGCGCTTAACTTTAGCGTCTTTTTCTACGAAATTCTCAATGCACCTGACAAGGCGTGTCAACTGGCGAAGCAAGCATTCGATGACGCTATTGCGGAGCTCGATACGCTCAACGAGGATTCATACAAGGACTCCACACTGATAATGCAGTTGCTGCGTGACAACCTTACGGTACGGAACTGGACCATATCTCCAAAAATAGATAATGGAGACGATTTTTTTTTTGCTACGATTATTATTAATACAATTATTTCTATAGACAACCTGCGTTAGCTCTCTAACAATAACTAGATGTCAATGGTGATTAATCGTTACTTTTTTGCGCTTAATTGCGCGTCGCATATGTTGTTACTTCTTCAGTCACAAACTTGACAAGATTAAAACAAAATACAAAGAGTTATAACACAGCTTAAAGCGCACATCACCATTACATTGGTACTCGAAGCCACTCCAACAGCCGCTATGACTTGTTAAGAAGGGCTGTAGAAGGGCTGTAAATGGAAGAAACGAATATACCGATACGCGTATCAACCTGAAGAAGACGTAAAAAAGCGTATATAAATATACTGTTTTCATAGATTTGAATTCAAGACCAATAGCCATATTTTATTCATTTTGAATTATCTGTTCCGGAATCTAGCTTTGTCATTATACTTGATATCGGATGACACCAGTATTTTACCCATTGCGAAACGTTTACCGATGGTGGTTAATCCACTCAACAATGAAGTAATGAATGATGCACCCCATATAGGATTTTCCACGTAGGAGTACCACTTAACGTAGCGGTAGACAAATATATACCCAAATGGACATTGGAATAACAGTTTTGAAGCGGTATTGAACCACTCGTAGAATGGTGTCATTGCAAATCTCTGTACGCTATTTCGGATTTTGAGTTTTTCATCGACTCATATGACTAAAGTACAAAGGATGGCTTGAATAATAATAGATCTAAATACTTGGTGTTGATGTATCGGTATCTTTAGTCGGGGCGCGCTACATGACAAAGCGTTATAAACCGCTGATCATATAAAGCTGTTTGCGAAATTTCCGAAAATCAAGATGACCGTGAGTCATTACCAAGTATCAATGGATCCTCAATTGTATGAGTCGTCTTCATTCTTAACGAATGAACAATTATAGGGGAATGAAAAAATGTCTAGTTTCGGAATTGAATCTCCCTTTTGACTTGATTCGTCCTTGAAAATCCATCGAAACTATTTAATAGGATAATTATAATAATAACAAATGACACAAGTAGCTATAATAGGTTCTATTTATGTATACCTAGAATTAAGTACTTAATCGACGTTATTACTATCAGCATGTTCTTCACGCTTATACAAGAGGCTTTAAACTAGCCGAGAATTTTTCTATGTACCTTGAGATCCTAAATACGGCAAAAAGCTACTGCAGGTTTGTTTTTTCGGGCAACCGTCTTAGTTTATTAATACGTAATATGTAATCAATAAAATGCACCTGCATCGGGCTCAACCAAAGAATTAGGTGTTTAGGCTGGTGGAATTAGGTGGTCAAACAGTTATAGATAACTTTCAGCAAACAAAATTTTGTGTGCATTTTGTTTCTTGTTTGCGTATTTGCTCTTACGGTCTTGGCGGGTTGAGCACTGAAACGAGCATGAGAAAAGCCGGGAATCCCAGATGAACCAGAAGTTGTCTTACTTGCCGATCGTCGATTGCATATAGATATTTGGTTCCTTTTTAGTGTGTTGGGATACTTCAGACATGACTTTGGTAGAACATGGTAGTCACGAAAAACAGTTTTGACATAATTCTCAGCTTATATTCTTATGGACAGAATCGGAGATGCCTATTAAATTTGACGTTATAAATGAAGTAATTAAATTGTAATTTTTGAGAAGCGTTGACAATTAACGTGAAATAGCTCACTATTGACCGTATGCAATTCTACACAGCCACAAAACCGCAATGCAGTGTAAAGCACAATTCTTAGAAGTTACTAGTGGATTCATTTAACGCTTTCTCTTATTTTGTGTGTGTATTTGGGTCATATTTCGTACTTAATGTTACAGTTGTGGACCTCGGATACGCAAGGAGAAGAGGGAGCTGCACCCGAAGGAGACGCAAACTAGAACCAGCCACATTCTCGTAAGTCTCCTGGCAGCGCGCCCTGTGTGTGCCCTCCCTTCACCCCATTCCGAGGAGTCGTCGATTTGATAGGGACATAAATTACATCTCTCCAGGAGGGCTCGATCGGCATCGTCAAATTGAAAAAACCACAATAACAAACAAACAGTCACACAATTGCAATCCGAAAAAAAAAAGCCTTGGTTCCAACACTAATAATTAAAATAATAGTACACACCTTAATAAAATGAAAATATATATATATATATATATATAAATGATGATGATTATGGAATGTATTTTGCTGGTAACGAATTGTTTCGTAGCCAGACAAAGATGACAAACAAGTACACAGACATACACTGTACCGCATGAGAGACAAAATAAATACCAGCGGATAGCTGGAAGAATGATTAATCAAGGTAGATGTAATTGAAATAAAAGCGATAAAGTTAATTTCAGTTCTTCAAACAGAAAAATCAACATTTAACACTTCACAGTTAAAGCGAGAGAGCGAATCAGAGAGAGAAAGAGCGTATGCGCATAAGTCGAAAAACAAAATAAAGACAATATAATACTTATACTAAATAAAACAGATTTCTATTCTATCTAAAGGAACAACAATAAACGATAAACCACTGAAATGTTTGATTATATATATATATACATATATATAATATGCTAAAAAAGCTATCCTTGAGTAATAATTATGAAATTATTAGTGTGCGTTGGTTCTGATGTGATGCTCCAATAACGACTATGCTGATACGATGATAAAGAAGGCAAAATGCTATACGAGAGAATAATGAAAGAACTATAATTATGCTAGATGATGATGATGATGACGGTGATGATGAGAATGAGCGCAAGTGCAAGAGAGCGAGAGAAGAAAGCATGAGAGAAAGGAACACCGCGGGTCTCCCATAGACAACAACATAACAGGAACACCGAAACACAATCGCTCAGATACACCACACGCAAAAACGATCCTAGACCACGATGCAAACAAAGCTGACGTAGTAGTTCATATAACATACAACAGGTTGTTTACGGAAACCAATGGAGTATGCACGCCGCAAAACATACGGAACAGCAGACGAGCAACAACGCTTACAATAACACAATCAACCATTAATTAATAACCAGTTGGTGACGAGGTGGACAAAGACAAGGACGATGCTATGAAAACATTGAGACATGGAAAAAGACGGAAGGGTGATGATGCTGCTGATAACATTGCGTCGATATAATAATAGATGAAATAAGAAATGCTGATAATAATGATGCTGATTATATTATATAAAAATATAGAAAGATTTCTATCGTAAACGAGAAAATAATAGCGTGCAACCACACGAAGGAGGCTACTAAACAGAATATAGAGAGCGTACGTAAACCATACAAAAAGCGATACAAAACAACTAAAACGCAAGCGGACAAACAAACAAACAGACGAACGAAGCCCGATAAACAAAGATACGGACGTCGACAGCGGAGAAAGTGGCGAGGGAGCCCGCGAAAAAGCAAAAAAGCATAAAACAACGTGAAGGTAAAAATAAAACAGATGGTAATCGAAAACCACGCAGATACACTCAAATATGGCACTCACATAGAGAACAAGAAGCTAATTGTGACACTTAACAAAAGGCGAAATGATGGAGGACAACCTGATAACAATAAATAGACGACTGATAATACAAGCAAACAAAGCAACAAACAAGAAAATGACAAACAAACAAACGAACCAACCTCCTGCTCTCTTAATAATAATAATAACGATAATATTGATAATAATAATAATAACAATAATAATATGAATAATAATAACCTAGTCTCTATTCAACTCAATTGGGTTCTTGCTTGAAGCCCGGCTAGAACCCTCTCGATCTCCAACGATGTAGTTGTCGCCTACGATGGCCGGCTCGGCTCATATCGGCAGATCCAAACAGATCCATGCGACAGCAACATCCTGGGCCGGGTCGGGAGTAGCTGGGAAAAGGAAGAATATCTACTTCGTTGTCGTTCGCTCACCGGACTTGTCGTCTGGACAGATTGAGTCTGCTCTCTGAGTGTGACGGTCAGAGGCAGATCACGATGCGTACCTGGATTAACTGATGTATATATATATATATACATTCTCGTATATTATGCTTATTCCAACAGAATTGGCTACAACAGGTAGTTGTATCGTGGCTCAGTTCATCCAGACGCCTGTCCTAGTTGTCGTGTTTAGTAGCTATTGCGCAAGCGAATATGGTATCGACAAGCATGCCACTGCAGTAAAAGCATCAATTTTTGACAATAAAAGCCAACGCAAGGAACTATAAGACGTAAAAAACGTTCAAAACTACTTGACCGAACAACGAATGTTGTCGTCTTGTACAGCAATTAAAGAAACAACGCAGTAAAACAGTCCTGTGACGTTAGCGCGATGAGAGCTAGAGAATATCGAGGTAACGAACAACGTAATAACTTGGTCCACTCAAGCGACGATAGAACAAAAGTAATAACAACAAAACTTCTCTCTGATTCTTACAGAAGTCGTTCCAAAACTACTCACTCAAGCAGAATCTCATTTTCAATTATTCACTTCATTCGTTATCTCTAATCAACTGTTCATACTATTACCTATAAGTATTCTAGTATTTATGCATTCAGTTATTCAACAGGTTTTCTAAATAGCCCGGATTTCACTCAGATTTTTTACTCAGTTGTAGCGATTAAATATTACCCTGCTTTAAGTAACCAAGATGGCAATTAGATTTTGGTAACGATAATGCATTATTGGAATATAGCAATGGTACGATAGCATTGTATGTGTTTTTCAACGATGAAATGCTGGAATGGGATGACTCTGATCAACCCTGCGTTTACACATCAAATCAAAAAGGGAATGACAGACTTCAGATTTTCACCCCAGAAGATACCCTTATGCGTACATATGACGCATAAAAACAACTGTAAGCTGTGTGAAAACGCTAGGTCACCGCGAGCAGTACACCATCAAGACTCCATTTTCGAAAAGCATGGTCGTTAAGCCTTATTCTGTTTTAACAACCAATATCCCCTATTCTTCTCGTGTTTTCATCATGCTAACTTCGCTAACGTTGACTATGAAGGTAGCAACCGCAGGAACAGGATGTTATCCATTGGAAGTAAAGATTAAATCAATTAAGTGGCAATGGGGAACACTCGCTTAGATCACCAAACTTGATGTACATGAATGATCTTTCTGTAAGCCCCCTTTTGTTCATGTTTTCAATAAAAGTATTCGACGGAGAGCGCGTGGTGCTTCTCTCTTTGGGTCTTATGTACTAATACAACTTGTGCGGATTTTCTATATTCATGATTACAAAGCTGTAGTATTTAACACAACTGATGAATTATTAGTTTTTTTTATTGATGGACAGGACGTTATGGTGCTATCTTGTTCCCAGTCTAAAAAACTGTGAATTATAGCTTAAACTCTGCTGTATGGTTTAAGGCAAAGTGCCGATCATTCCAAACGTTTGCCAAGCACATTTGTACTACCGAAGTGAGAAGAGAAGAGGTGAGAAAATGATTTTGGGAATACCGTGTGCTGCGAATAGGGTGGTGCTGAGGGCCGGGGAAAAAGCGAATGCCAGGCTTTGTTTAGACTACTACCGAATAGAGCCAGGATCCCAGTAACTGGTGTCCACAGATGTCCAGAGAAGATCCACTTAATATGATACGGATTCTGCTGACCAACAGTAAATTACTACCGTCATTCGTTTTACTGTGACAGCACCCGCGGCGGCCATAGTAACAGTGGCAGCTGCTTAAGAGGGAACAAACACCAGATAGCTCTGTCGTTTCATGACCACTTTGAGGGCTATGTTGCGTATACAGCGTCAAGCAAGGCGACTTTTGGTACTGAGGATCGAACGCCCGTCGATTGTCTTCCACGCATCTGTACGCGCACTTTCTTTGCGGAAGTTACGGGATACCTGGTTACCTGTAACATATGCATGCTCTGTTTCTTCCAATCTAGCCGCTAAAACTTTGTTTTCTAACTGCCATAGTAATTTCTGACAAAAGCTTGTAGCTAATTAGGGACCCGAAGCAGAGGGCAAGGGGCAAGGAGGGACCATCTCACGTTCCCTTTTATCCTCCGCCATTGACGCCGGATACCGCGAAGCGTATCCGGCAACAGGCGAAAGTGAAACATTTCAAGTGGTGGTACGGTGAGTTAGAGGTCTAGCTATTCCTGTCTTGCCTTTCAGCTCCACGTTTACCTTGACTTGTTACGGTTTCATACAATAACTTTAGCTTTTAGTTTTTTTTTTTATCATAGGTAGACTTTAGTATATCAATGAATACAGCACGCTGTAGTTAATTTATGAAGATTTATAAGTAAAGATACCGTACTTATATTGGATATTGAGTTGTGATCCTAAAACTCATTCAGCAAATAAACGCTGTAGCATAGTTATAGAACTGAAGGCGTGGAATGCAACAAACGTTACCCAGAAGCAGGCGCGGTAGTTATTTCAACGAAATGCGACTAGACAAGGGCGTTAATTCCTTTATATGCGGTGACAATTAATACAGATGTTTACTGGTTCTGATCTTCTGTCTTCTATAATATAAAAGTGTTATATTATTCTGTTAAGTTATGCGCGCAGTCATTCAGGGTCATATTTTAGAAATTTTATTATCTCAGAAAGATCATACAAGGCCCAATGTGTGTATATTAATTAAATATATTAACAGCGTCTTAAGCGGGTTTTCGTAAAATGCTAGACAGAAAAATCCCTATTCAGTCAGACCTTCTGCAATTAGAGACGGTGCCATTGTGGCTGGAATGTGTTTCTAAGAGGTACCAACCCTGAAGGTATAAAATGATTTTGTTTCTCATTCAACTTCCTTGGAAGCGATTTCGTGAAAACTAAACATTGGATCACTCCGTATAGAGCATGGCAAAGTGAACGCCTACTTGGCAATTGCTGTTACAGGGTTAGTCCTTATATTTTCATTTGAAATCTGCACCATTATTACCTATGACTTTTTGTAATATATTCATTTTCGCTGCTGCGAAACTTTTAGGAAGCATGAGTCTATGAAGTCTCGAAAAACAGTTTTCACATCTGAATTTAGGTAATTTTTCCGCCAAGAAGCCGTCGAGATTTTGAAAAAATCTCTGTAAGAACAACGTCTAGCGAGTGTTGTGGGTGGCAAAGAGCCTTCAGCTGTGATTCCTGTATTTTTGCCACCGCTATTCTGTGGACGTGAGGTTAAGCGTTGTCGTGCAAGAAGAGTAATTTACTCCCGTTCACGTACCTTGGTTGCTTTGTAATAGATTTTTTTATCATCTCCTCCGACCCTTAATACTACACTCCAATTGCAAGCATGAAGCAGGACTATTTTGAAAGCAAAAGTCTCATTACGTCTCTTTAACTCCGGGCGGCAGGGAAAGTGAATCTGTAGTGGATAACGCCTGCATTGGACTAGCAAATTAATGCCATAGGTTTCTGGAGCTGTACATTTGCTTTAGAATGATGTCCCACCGCTTTCCTTGCATCCACCTACCGACGTGATCATCTGCGATTATTGTAGAAAATCCATTTTTCTTTACAATTCGGTGCAGGAATGGGTATTTGTTGTAACGTGAGAGCAAAAAGGAAAAAGCATACCTACGGCTCTATTTTTTAATTTCCCTCGAATTACGAACCACTCATTTGTTAATCTTTAACCTTGTTTATTTCAGCGTAATGAATAAGTATGATATCTTTGAATACGCCGAACTTTAGTGGTAATATCGGTGCACCTAAAAATTAGTCAGCTTCTGCCATAGCTGTCGACTCTTTAATATTCATCTTCGTTGGGTCTTTCACGAAACTTATTTTCGAGTTAAACATTTTGTTCCAAGAATCTTTTGAGCCAACGATTCATAGTGTTCTCAAAAATAGAACCTCTGCTAAATATAAGGTTTATGTTGCAAGCTCTAGTTTTAAGATGTAACTCATATTCATAAATGAGTCGAATTTTCTGATTTTCCATCGTTCACTGTAATTCGCCTGCTGACGGTCGGAATAACAATACCTGAGTAAACAGTCTCACATTTCGTAAAGGACAAGAACATGTCCTTCATCTCAAATACAAAAAAGTATCGCGAAGTGCTATATAATATGGGATCAATGGTTGTCGCATTTCCTGCTGACCGACCCAAACTGAGTGGTGTGAGCTGGTAAAATGAAAAGAAGACCATCAGTTTAAAAAACACGTAAACGTATATCTATACATAGGCAGAAATAAATTACCTGCGTCTCTAATGCCCCTGTCCTCTTGGCGAGAAAATTTATATATTATATATACTATAATTCAAGACGACTACTCAGCCGAATTACGATAGTCATTTCATGATGACTGTGTCTATTTCCCAATAGCACGGGATTTTAAGAGATTGGTTGCTTTTTAAAAATATATGTATATATAAATTTCGGAGAATTTGGCAATATTTCTTTAACTTTAACCTATGTCAAGTTTATTTCTATTGCGTTTCGTGAAAACTGAAAAAATATCAGAGCATTCTCACATTACCTATAATCACCCAAAAAATTAGCCAATCAAATTGAAATCCTAGTTGAATCACGCCCCCCTACGTGTTGCTATTGTATTATGCTAAACATTTTTTAATCCTCCATAATTGAGTTATTCAAACAAGATTTTCATTTTCAAGGCTGCTATAGTGCAGAATTTATATACATTTATTCCCATTTTTCACGTTTGAAAATAACGGCGCGCCAGTATTTACAATCATTAAGGGAGCCACCATCAACGTCAAAATTGTGCTGTTTGAAAACTGTGTTTAAATTATATTATCGAAGAATACCTGAAGTCTATTCACGGTTACTTCTACTATACATATAATTAGCCTTTTTCCTTTGCATAGGTAAAACAAAATGTGTAGTAGCAAAATAGCCGCGATTGATGTTGCATTCTATATCAGTAAAGGTTTCAGATATTGTTCTACCTCAATAGACCCCTTCATATGGTTCGAGTGGTCTATTTTTCTTGATCGTTATCTTTTCAAGTTGGAAGAGTTTGCGTTGAAGTTAGAGCCAACTGACTAAATATTTTTTCTCCTAGAGAAGGTTTTTTTCATAGAGCGTAATATCGATCTTATTGATCGTAAACTGACGACAGCAGCTTCATTCACATTCTCCGTGTTTGAAGGAGAACTCCCCAACAGCGTTTAGAGGCATCAAAGCGGTCACCAGCATCCTCTGCGCTGATACATGATCAATGTGAAAATTGTATTGCATGTTCGGTCGGTGGAATAAAAAAGAAACTGCATTTGAACAGTGTTCGAGTTTGCACATATATAGCAAGGTGAGTGTTTCGTGTTTGCCTGTTTGACCATGAAAAAATGACACGTGAAAGTGGTTATTTATTATACACGTTATTAGCAGGCTCAAGGTTGTACGAGGTTGGGACGAGGTAAATTTGTTCCAGAATTTTTTTTCACTGTCCCTTCTTCTGATCTAATGATGTTCTTTTTTTTTTATTTGAAATTTACCCAAAAGCCGGGATACGTCAACAATAATAATGCACACCTTAAAACGGAAAAACCAACAATACGGAGTGGTTCATTCATGCTGCGGACGACAACCCTAAGAGAAAGGGGGGAAGGCCGCAGCCGCTGGCCTAACACAAGTAAGTAGGATTAGCACTTTCGTCAATGACGACATCATGTACAATGTTTGTAAACACTATGCGACCCTCATCTTCAAAAGCGAAATACCCGAATTTTGCTGTATGCAAAATAGGACAAAGCTGCTCGACATGCAACTCCTCACAGAATTTAACTATTCGTACAGAAGTTTCACACTTGTCACCTGAGTAATCCGAAGCAGCAATTGCCATTACAATACACTTTTCTAGATAATTTCACTTGAAGTGAAAGGGAAATTCCGTGCTGCCGAGAACACGGAAAACCTGCCGCTAATTACAGATGGCGCAGTGTACCATAGAGAAGACCCTTAACGCTATCCTTCAACGAATTGTGCCAATTTGCACAAATTCAAACAAACCCATGGACCCACGTTACATTGTGAAACATCGCATACGCATTATGCGCGAGTCTGAGTTCCGTGAAACTCTTGAAGGTAGTCTCCTACGGGTTGGCTCATACATTCGTCCTTTGGTGATAGACCTTAAAGATGCCCGCATTATCATTGACTTGGGTAGGCGACCAGTGAGTGCCTATTCAAGGACATATACGTCCGAACAGTTAATAAGTTCACAATCAATATTTAAACTGGCTCGGCCTCCGACCACATAGTCCTTGGGTACCGCAATAGTACCTTCGACGAAGGTCCTCCCGATACATACATGAGAAGATTGTGATTCATTTCGGAATCATATGAATCCTACTGTTTCCACGCGGAGAGACGACTAAGGTGTTTTATTGCGTACGATACAGGATACGATATCGCCCTTCTACACCACGCGTACTCGTGCCGATTCTTTTAATCTTACTTAAGAACTCACTATTAGAATCTCACTTAATAAGGCGATTGTTTTAGCAGTACTAGGTAGACATAACTGCGTTGAGAATTGAATCAGAGAGCATCTTCTATTGTATATTCGGACCAATCAATACACCCTACGGCCAGCTACGTATCGGAGCCCCACTGACGCAGTAGACAATAGCGATGACCTTTCTAATGCTGCGAAGCGTTATGCTTTCTTCACATCTTTTAAAAGAGGCCCACGATGTACGGCTGACTTACGCGACAACGTCATTATGCATACTCGTACTTACAGCAACGCGACTTCTTTCCGTACTATGACTTACAACATGTATTACCCCGACATTGTGTCCAGCCTCATCGAAAGTCAGCTGCCCGAGGATCTCCTAGACTTAATTGAGGATGTTATAAACTGAGGAGCGGATAAAGCCATCTCTAAAGTGAGCAACCTCAGTTTTACCTAAGTTGTTTCTTCAGAAAGGACAAGCGGCCCATTCCGCTCGATTAACAAAACTAGCATCTCTAATGTCCCTTGTGAATACGACGGATTCGTCAAATTGCTGCTTCATGCAGAGACACCCAAATTCCACATCTGAACTACGCACACGTAGCTCAAAGGAAAGAAAGATGCGCCTGATCCGTATTGTCCACAGTACTGCGGAGCAAATGTTCTAAGCCGATTCTATAAGCTTATTCTTTGCACCTTCTACTTTGTCATTATTACCAGCCAACCTCTTTCGATGCATTGAGAAAACGCGACTGTATCCTATTTACCACTTTCAAAGACTCATGCATAAAGGACCTACTCATTGATGATCAACAGTACTTGCAGACTCTGCACGACGCTGAACAGACCCAGATGTCCAAAACTATTCGCAACCTTTTTATTGTACTCTTAATGATTGGGGAAATCACAAATCCATTAGATCAGTGCAACCTGCACAAGAACGCTGTGCCTAAAAACTATCACTAAGGGGCTTGCTTCACCCACCATGAATCTTCCTATGGGACCCACTCGCCATAATCTAGCTCTAAGGTATTCTCCGTCCCAATTGAGCAAGTATTATAAAAGCTTAATCGAATTTCATCCACCTAGCCTTGAGTACCTGGAACAACGTATAGACAACAGAGGTATCATACGTGAACCCTAACTTGTTCTCGCCAAGCAACCTGAAATCATCATCAGTCATAAAATGTAGAGGTTAATTTACAATAATGTTTGTGAGTGCTTACGTATAGGCTAAAGCAAAGTTACCTTCATCGATGTACGTGATGGTACAGGAAAAGCTCTCCTAGCCAACTTCGTCCTGGCACGAGTATGCACAGAAGCGACGGTGACCGTTACTGTTCTATCGTCCGGCACCTCGGCAACATTAATGTGCATTGTGTATTCCCGATTTAGAATTTCGATTCAAATTCACGTGGAGTCTTTGCGCAAAATAGACAAGAACCTGAAGATCTCTAACTTGTTCGCTCAACGGCGCTCATAGTTTTGAATGCCCTATAATTAGAAGAGAGGCCTTCAAGGCCATTCATCGCTCGCTCGGTGTTGTACGACCCTTTTTGGCCGAACCTTATTCGTCATCCAACGTCAGTGGTGTGACAAGGTACAGATGGCGCCGTTGAGAGGGCCTGCATCAAACAATCATGCCCCAAAATTCCACATACACAAGTTGATGGCCAATATACGGTTCGTTGCATCTGTCACCACATATTTCGACTTTTTGCTCAAAATTGTTAAAGACAGGTATTCCAGAAACCCTAACGATGTAATTACGCCGCCTGAAGACATCGTTCAAGGCGATTCATTTGCAGAGTGGATCGACTTCATTCGTTCGTCCATCCTATCTGAGACTCTATGAACTCATTTGCCTTACATTATATTAGCTCCCATATTAATACGACATACATCGCGAGGTTTTCCGGGACAATCACCGAATACCGCACATTCGTTCACGTTACCAGCGACGCCTACGCAACCCCCTTAATAACGAGGTTTCTCGAATTTGCGAGCTTTTTGGCCTCCTGTCTAATATTTTGCGCCTGAAGAACAGTTTGCCTATCCTCATGCTCAGCTTAGACCCCAGACTTAGAACAAAACCAAGCTGGTCGTCAACGATTTATATGTTGCCGCGAAAATTGTCGCGGGCACGTTTGGAGACCAAGTCGTGCTGCTAAGGAAAATTAAATTTTCACTCCCCGAGAAAGTGAACATACTCCTGGCAACTTCCTGTGTGGTTATACTTCGCAATGATAATTTACAAGGTTCAAAATACAACGCTTGACGACGTGCTAAACCCGCTCAAAGGACTTGTCTTCATTTACAGTAAATTGTACTTTGCGTTGAGCCTCGTCCGGGCCTCCGACCAAGTATTTCTAATTGATAACGGAATCATTCAAAACATTGTTATATACAGCTCTTTACAAAGACTTGCCGTATGTGCCTTTGCAGTGCGCATTCGTCAATAGATAACCAAGTTCTGAGTTGGCCAGCCCGACAGATGTGCGACCTCGACCTGCCGTTGTGAACGCTAAACAAAGATGCATCCGGCCCCTTGCGCTGTATAATAAGATATAGGTCTCGCTCCAGGTAGGTTATACTCAATGCCACACTGTAACTACAAATTTGTACTTTATAACTTAACTAAAGAGTTAATATCACTTACTCAAAGAGCGTTCAACACAGGCACGGGATGAAGCCCACGGGACGACAAACTTTGTGTCTATTTGTTTATACGACCCAAATCGACCTCTTAGAGTGGTCAGATTAACGTCACTTGTCTTGCGTCGCTAGTGTGCAGAAGAGCTGCACATAGGATGGTCTCTACTAGACGACTATTTTTTCCAGAAGGGACTTTTTGCATGCGATAGAGCGCGATATCCATTTGGATAAATTGTTTGATTAGCTAGATAATCGCTAAGTATTTCTTAAAGCTTTATCTTGGAAAATTTTTTCGACCTTTGTAGAGTAGATGCAGCGTTGAACATAAGAAAAAATGTTCTATTTTTTCACATGTATGCGCTTTAGTCGTAAACTGATGATTTTTTTCGAATCGGTTCGTAATTAATGAAATAGATCGACGTAACACTTTATGATAGTTTCCTCAGTCCTATATAGACTATATAAAATATATTTAGACGTCATTGTTTTATTCGAAAAAATAGTTGATACGACAGAAACTCAGCCCAGTCGGTGGATCCGAGCGCCTGCTTTCCGCCGCTTGACGTGATCAATACAAATAATTCTACGCGTCAAAAACCGTGCCATCTCGTGCCAACAGATAGAAGCAAACAACGCTTTTTTGAAGGTATTGTGTGTATGAGAGGAAGGCGCATCTAGGGCAAATGACTAATCATGATAAAAATGATTTACTGAACTATAGAAGGTGCTTTTTTGGGATCCATTGTACAAGCGCTTCAAGCAGCTAAAAAGTGCTAGTTACATTTAAACGTATCATTCGACACGAGAGCGGGTCGGCTAAAACAACCGACACCGAATAAGCGAAAGGACAAGCGTACACAACTCGCGGCGAGTGACAGTTGAAACACCGTTAGAATATAAAAGAAAGGCGAACAATTGTGATGAAACTAATAATAAATGCGCTGCGCTGCTCTGTTCAAAGTTTTGAAGTGGGGGTTTTTCAGTATAACTCTACTGTAAACTGTATCCTGAAGAACATTATGTCCTGTTTCAACGGAAAACAGTATTGCATGAAAAACTGTTTTTTATAGTTCCGCATAGGAAACTATAATATGAATTTAGTTCTTCGAACACTAATTGGATGTAAATTGTTGCTTACAGAAATAACTGATATGTTGTGTTAGGAAGGATGTTCAATTTGCATTATTTGTAGGCAAACATTACACGAAAATCGCCTTGCGTGAAGAGGTTTACTTAGCTCGTATTATGTAAGAAGCTATGTTGAAATTGTATTGTTAAAAAAAACTATTAGATTTTGCATCCATCGAAGTTATAGCTTAATAATAGGCTGAAACGGTCAAAGTCAAAAACAGTCGCCAAGAATGGGAGAAATGTATATAGCAAGCTTCTAGGAATAACGAAATAGAAGAAGAAGAAACAGATCGTAGACGTCACACTGATAATGAAAGACCTAAATTAACGTAGGATAATTCAGCCGAGGTTGGCAGGACGACCAAAAGTTGCGGTTATTGAAAGGTATACCGCATTAAAAATAAAACGGTAAATTTCTGTTGTATGTTAGGGAAAATTAAACTAAGTGAAAAACTCCACAATTTGTACAAAAGTAACTGTCCACTACGAAAAAAATATCAGGCACTGAAGTTATTTATTTCAGATGACGGCATTTAATGTCTAGGGAGTGCTGTCCGCCCAAAGGAGCCTACAGTCTGTTATTAATTAGGCAGGGCGCTATTTACCATAGAATCGGATTACTAATGCCGCGGAATAACCATCAATTCGAATCTATTCAAGTTTATTCTACGATAAGACACGGTAGAACGCCGCTAACGAATTCTGAATCGTGAGAAAAATATGTTGAAGATTTACGAGAAGCTTTGTCGATCTTAATCAGAGATCACCAGCCGAATAGGAACTCCAGCACCGTACACTGCCCATAACTAGCAGAAAAACAACCGTGTCGCCATATTACTCATATTGAATTATGGGTCGTAAAAGTGAATTGAATGTAGACCGTCTGTTTCAATAATAACTGACCGATCTGGCTGCGAAGAGTCTGAAAACGTATATTGAAAATAAGCAAAAATCTTTTCGATCAGTCACATATAGGGGGCTTAGTGATACCATAAACAATGAGGGTGCATTCGCAGTCGTTCGTCCTGAAACGATTCATCACCTCATCGTCATTCGAAGGTGGACTAAGGTATGTAGGAGAACTCACAGAAAATGCAGTGGCGTACATTCGCATACATAAATATACATCATTATCTCTGCGCTGGCTAATACTTGTAAATGAGCTTACAAGTGTGGTTGATCTTCTGTTGCTGGGGGAGAAGAAGGCCTAATAACAGGAAGTTGGACCAGATTTAATGAATGACTTTGAAAAAGTGTTTCAACTTAAAAAAAAAACATTTTAATAAAACGTTATATAGAGAAATTTGGCTTGGTAATAGGGAGTAACAAGAGGACTACTGCATGCTGACGTTTAGTCGGGGCTTAGTGAAGACACAACACTTTAACCACAAATGTACGATACATTTCTGCAATCTGACGTCCTGGATCCAAAGGCAAATCCAGAACCTTACAGATTCGAGTTAAATCGTAATATTCAAGGGCCATATCCCACAGCGCCTTCGCCTTTCGATGAAAGCTTGAAGAGCTACTCGAAACCATCCACTAAACGTACTTTGTATCGCAAGGTATATCGCGACGTTTCCTCGAGCTTTTGTGGGTTATAAAATGGGCTGACAGCATGCAACTGCACATAATGCCGCGATGAGTCAAATTTATCAGGCAAATCAATTCAATACATACGAAACATGCATTTGACGAAAATGAGAAGGGAGGGCGTTTTAAGGGAGAGATCAACGATGATCGATACTTAAAGTCGTGTCAACCGTTTGCATAAACATGACGTTTCTTGATCGATCAGCGATACCAACCTGTCGAGCAACTTCATTTACATTTGCTGTTACGAGAACAACTATTTTTCCAAAAAGTCATCTACACAAAAATAGTCATCCATAGTTCTTTGCAAGCATAACGAAACTGGCGAAAGCTTTTGCTTTGCGTCGCTGCATCCAGATTCTATAGGCTAATAACAAATGGAACAAAAGAACAAAGGGCCTAGAAATTCGTAATTTTTCCACTTAAAATTTAAAAAAAATGCTCTCGTGCATCTACGCGGCCCGTCCATGTCGAAAAACATCTGTCGTTTGGGAATCCTACTATATTATGTAAACCTACATCTTTTGACTTGTGAAAACGTATAAAGGAGCTTTTCTTGCTACACTCAAAAAAACTTGCGTACACAGAAAAAAACTGGTTTCCAAAGGAGACCATTGGCAAAAGAATCTGGAAGATGCCCAGCAGACGCAGATGTGTCAGGCAATTAGGGGTCCATTCGTGATTACGTTATTGATGAAAGAAGTTTTTAAGTCGTTAAACATAGAGGAGCTTTTCAAGAATACGATGGCTCAAGACTATCATCATAAGGGCCGGCTGTCAAAAAGCAACATGACACTTCCTATTATTGACCTCCAACATGATGAAGCTCTTACGTACCTCCAAATCAGATCAGAGGACTTTAACCCAACCTAGCCCAACTCTCCACACTAGAAAAAAAGAAAGAACTAAAATGCTCTAGGAACTCAAATAGGACAGTACAAAACAGAACGAAATTATAAGCCACAATATATATACACATATAATACAACTATGAGCCGCTAGTAAATGACAAACAAAAACTCTACATCATGTTTGCCCTTACCATGACAGTAGCAAGGCCTCAATGTTCTTCGTCGACGCTCTGGAAAAAGCAGATGAAGCCTTTGTGACCAATTTCACTCTAGCCAGAATAAGAGAGGAAAAATAAATGTCCACTGTAGAATCGTCGCCAAAAGTTGCCGGACCCTTGATGAGAGCCGAACTACGCTCTTCCGATTGAAAATTTCCACCTATTTCAACTAAGATACAGAATGCAAGGTAGGGAAAATTTAAAAACGACAGACAGACTTCGTATAACAGCTCTTATAGTGTAAGACACTTATGATTAGATGAGAGAATTTAAAGACCGTTAATCGGACTGTCATTATGTAGTAAGGATGAATTTTACAGAGATATATGTTTAGGCGGCTTGCGGCAGCTGCTAAGAGTAATCAAATGAAATCGCGATGGCAACATTGAAAGCTCCTGTATCAAAAGGTCATACCTGGGGAAACACTTCGAAATGTATAATTTAACATTCAATATGAGACTAAACAAGGCTGATGCCGAATACATCTAGCTGTTATTGGACGTAAGTAAAAAATAATTTTTGAAAAAATCCCTTTAGTAGACATAGTTAGCTCAGCTTTCGTCCGAAAACGTTGTGTTAAAACGGGATCCTACTGTGTAATATCTCGACCTCACCTACCCACTTATATCGCTCGAAAATCCTGTGGACACTTCTACAGGGAAATGCATACTAGTTTCGTTTGTGCAACGGTTCGAACTAATAATAACACTTATATTGAACGACTTTCTGAAAATCTGCAACCGAAGGCGCACTTCACCGCAGAATTCCTTGGCAGTGTTTAAGCATCTAGATGGATGATGGTAAGAATTTTTTTGCTTCAATTGATAGATCTCGACGAGCTGATGAAAGCTGACGTGCACGTCCCTATACATAAAATGGGTATTTCGGCATGAAATTGATGAAGAACTAAATGTGACATCCGTTAGCCCCGTGTGACAATCGGGTAAAAGTTTCTTCCAAGGCAGCGTCGAACGCTTTTTCGAGCGAATTTCTAATACGTGTCAATTAAGAGGTTCAAGCGACAAATATGACAATACATTTGTTCCAAAATATTCTCTGAAAGATTTTCCAAGGGAAGCATCGAAATATACAGTTAAAATATATATTTCAGCGTTCAAAAGGTCGAAAATCGAATGTGGCAGATTTCTTGCTAGCGTAACACTGGAATAAAAACTTAATTTGGAAGTCGGTGTTCATACATGTTCATGTATCTAATTGTAAGTTTTTGAAAATGTTCTGTCAAGGGTGAAAAGTTCACGTGGTGTTCTACATAAGGCGGGTTTTTTTTGTCATCAACCGCGAGACCCCGACAAATTGAATAGGAATAAAATACGTAAAACTATTCCTAAAGGTGATACGTTTAAATGAAAACTTCGAAACCCCCTGTTAGTTGCAGGTTTGCTCGTCGAACGATAGGGTGAAAATGCGTTTCAAGTTATTTTTTGAATAAGTTTTCAACGAACATGATTTGGAGAGTTGAAGCAACAAATGTAGGGTTGATTTTCGCAAAAACGCCTTAGTTACTTTTAGCGAAAGGTGTCAAAATATCAAAAAAACATATTTGCAAATAAATATTATGTAGAAAAAACAAGAAGAAAAAAATCTTTAGATGTTAGTGACATTCCGCAAACAAAATCACGGGTCCAGCCGAACTCAAGAAAAGAGTCGATACATCAACCGAAGCATATCAATCAAATCAAATATATGTAAATACTTTTTGATGCCGTTTTAGAAGAAGGGTTAATAGCAGTCGGCTTATAGCCGACTCAGTTTACGTACGTCTCTCAGATGTCGGTCGTCGGCAGACCTATTCACGTGCGTCCCAAAAACAGAGTCAATCAGCCAACATCGCATTGCAAAAAAAGGATGAAAAGCCCATGAGCGAAACAAATTTAGAGTTTTCTGAGCGAGTATATTAGAATAGACCACAGAAACAATAGAGAATTACAAGGTTGGGTGGGTTAAGTGGAGCAAAGCACCTGAAACGAGAAAAATCGTTAATGTGTAGTCGATCTACCTATTGCTTTCGTCAGCGAAAGTAAATGGATTGGTCTAGGTAAATTAAACTGTGACAAAACAAGTGCCGAGCGAAGTTGTAGAGTTTGGGTAGAATTTTTTAAC